GAAAGAAAAGTTGATATGGATCACATGAAAAGAATGTTACTTGAAGATCTTCCAAAAAATATTATAGGTCCTGTTCACTCAATTGATCGACGGCGTGAAGGAGAATCTAAACTTTACTGTGTTAAAGGCGAGGAGACAAAAGTTTGGGAAAGCCGATGGTGGTTCAAAATTGACACAACATTATTATATCCTATGAACTTACAATTCCGCCTTTTGCTTTTTTTCAAGACTGCCAAAAAAAACGAAAAGACTGACGAAGTTTACGATGAATCGAAATTTTCATTGCACGTTTTTCATTACTTTTATGTACCACATGGCCCCTCATATTAGGGAAGGACGACCAGATGCTGCTGAACATAGCAAGCTATCAAAGGATTGTTTACCAACAACTAACTCGTTTGGTTTAAATTTCTGGCTGGCGTGACAGTTTAATCTTTGGTTTATTGAAAAAGTACTTGGGATGGCCTTTATCTGATTTTCATTAGAATTTGTCCAACCAGTTACAAGAAGGAATTGGCTTAAAATATCAGCAGGAGGCTTGACACTGCACTAGTCAAAACTCACTCGGCAGCCAAACTATTAATTATGCATGAAACAACACGTTCAATAGACCAGTCAAAGGTTGACAAACACCTTTTTCATGATACCAGCAAACGTATTTATACGTTTACGTGTACCTACTAAAGCAGTTACATTGGTCAAACAGAAAGGAGGGCGTATCAAGAATTTTTTTGAGTATGTTCCAGGGAGCCTTGGGACAGGAGAAAGAACGGCTCTAAACAGTGTGATTATTAAACATCACCTTGATAAGGGACATCAGTCGATACCCTGCAATCTTCCAAAATGATTGGTTAACAGCCAAACTCCAGTCTTCTGAAGTTTACAGATGCCGATGCTATCAAGCATCAAAAACCTGACTTATGTGTTCAAAAGGATATGGTTTGACAAGGTTTCTCATTCGGGTCTAATGCAGAAGCTCTCACGTTTCAGAACAACAGATACTGAATAGGATTGGATGGAAAACTTTCTGTGGCCACAGACAGAGGGTGAGGGTTAATGGATCACTGCCTGAATGAAAGCCGGTCAAAATGGTACACCCAAAAGGCACCACCTTGGGTTCATTACTTTCCTTTCTCTATGCAAATTAATTACCGCTGTTGCTTAAGTCGTCTACATTATTGTTTGATGTTGAAATCTGGATGACAATAAAAAGCGAGGCTGATCATTCCAATCTCCAAGCTGACCTAGAAGAATTAATTAGAGGACCTCATTGTCGGGGCTTAGCAGTCAACTATAGAAAGAGTGTGCTCATGCACATCGGACACAGCAACATTTACCAGCATAGTATAGACGGAAAATATCTTCCATGCGTGAAGGAACATTAAGACTTAGAAGTAATGGTAAATCACGACTTGAAAACAACTACTCATTGCAAGACAGAAGCTGCCAAAGGGTTTCGTGCATTATGATCACTTCATTGAGTATTCAAATGAATCGACGAGATGTTTCGAATTTTATATACCATCTATGTAATGGAGTACTGTACCCAAGAAGGTGGTCCATGTCTAGCTAATAACACAAATTCGTTTGAGCGTGTTCAATATGAGGGAACAAATTAGTGAGGGTTCTCTCCAAGCTCCCTTACAACGAGTGCTTAAAACACCTAAATGTTTCCTCCTTGTCGTATTGTAGAACGCGAGGTGACCTTATATTGGTATTCCGTATCTTTAATTACGATTTAGGTGTTAACATGTCGTATCTTTTTGCTGCCTCAGCATTAATAATCTTCGGGGTCAGATAAAGAAGGTTCGAAAATTGCGATCTAATAAACTTAAAGTGTGGTTCCATTCTTCCCATCGAGTGGTCAATGACCGAACTGCCTTACCCGAACAAGTGGAATCAGCCCCATCAGTGAACACTTTCAATGAGAAGCTGGACCATAACCGGAACACAAACTGTAAAGATTAGTACATGTCCGTCAACCTACATTCCTTTTTACAGGAGACTATAGTTAACTGCTGCAACACGTTGACAGAAAAGAGAGGACGACGTAAGTAAAAGCACACTTAGCAGATCAGTATGGACCAGAAGCATACAGTTGTGTGACAAGTTAGGTGCCTTAAAATTGGCGCGTAAATTCGAAGATATAACTAAATATACAATACCACAGAAACTAAAGAACATATGGTATTTTAAGATCACAAAGTTCTTTGATTTTCTCATCACTGCTGACATCCATTTTTGATTATCCTAAGGAGCCCAGAAGTATCCTGAAACTGAGGAGTAAAAGCAAATAAATCGAATTTTTTTACGCTAGTTCCCCACTTTCGTATACAATCAATCATATCGGAGGCTCATGTTAGTGGTACATGTGAGGTAGCATGTTGTAAGATTAAATCTAAAAAAGGGTTAGTGACTATAGGCGGAATATACCGTAGTCCGTGTTGTCTTGCTGACGACTTTATCCTAAGACACATCCGCTCTTGGAGTATGGCAGAATGTTGCCTCATCATTGGGGACTTCAACGCACTGCACATAAACTGGATAGAGCTTACAGCTCCAGGTGGAGGTTTCGAGAGCGAACTTTTATCAACCGTTATTCAGTGTGCACTTGTCCAATGTATCACTAAACCGACACATATTGATTTGAAACGTGATCCGTCACTGCTGGACCTCGCCCTCACCCACCACTGTGAGGATGTCTTTGATATTCAGCACCTTCCTCCACTAGTGAACAGCGATCACGTTGTACTTCACTTTAAGTTTAGGACACATGGTATACGATTTGTATCTTCTCCACCCCGTCCCAATATCTGGCGGGCTAATATTCCGGCAATCAGAGACTGTGCTATCTCGACTGATTGGTAGCAGATGGATCGATCGAAGACGAATGAAATAAGTTTAGGGCTACATTCGAGTCCGTAACGTCGCCGTTTATCCCGTGGTCAGCACGTAAGCTATCGCGTTGCCCTCCATGGATTAATAAGGAAACCCGAAAGCTGTCAAAGCGTAGGAAACACTTCTGGGACGTATTCTTGTTGGCAGGTCATGTATCATTTAAGCGTGAGTACCAAAAACTCCGGAATATTTGTAAGAAAACAATAGCTAAATCTCGTACTACTTACGAACGACAGTTGGTATATGATAGCCGTACTTGTCCAAAACGATTGTTTTCGTATGTCAAACGGCGAATAAAACGTAGCGACAGTATTCCCCCGTTATTGTTACACGATAATTCAGATTTACTAGTTGAATCAGATCGGGCCAAAGCTGCGACATTTTCAAACTCTTTTACCGAAGTCTACTCTACGTTTATTGTAACAACTACTTGTTCCAATCACACCGAGATACCAGCCATTGAATCTGTACAGGTGACTGAGGAAACTGTTCTTCCGTTGATAATTAACCTCAAACCTTGTAAGATACCGGGTCCTGACGGGTTACATCCACGGCTGCTGTCATCTCTTGCGGACATCATTTCAAAACCGCCCGCGACACCCTTCAACATGTCCCTTTCACTCGCTCAACTCCCTAGGGATTGGAAAGATGCTATTGTCAGTCCTATATTTAGGGATGGTCAGAGACAGATCGTATCTAACTACCGGCCCGTCAGTCTAACTAGCATTGTCGTAAAGTTACTTGAAAAGATAGTTCGGGTTAGGTTGCTAAGCCACATAGACTCACACAATCTGTTAGCTCCTGAGCAACATGGATTTCGTGGCAAGCGTTCATGCTTGACTAACTTATTTATTGCGAGAGAGGATTGGACAGCAGCCTTAGATAAAGGTCTGTCTGTAGATGTGATACTCATAGATTTTAGCAAAGCATTTGACAAGGTTTCACACTTAGGTCTCATGCAGAAGCTCACGAGCTTCGGAATAATAGATACTGTACAGGAGTGGATAGGAAAGTTCTTATGTGACCGCAGACAGAGAGTTAGGGTCAATGGGACGCTATCTGATTGGGAGCCGGTCAAAAGTGGTGTATCCCAAGGCACCATCTTAGGCCCTCTGCTCTTCCTTCTCTACGTAAATGAGTTCCCGCCGTTGCTTAGGTCGTCGACACTATTATTTGCGGATGATGTCAAAATCTGGAGAACAATAAGAAGTGAGGCTGATCATCTGGATCTCCAAGCTGACTTAGACGATTTAGTTAGATGGGCTCGAGATCGGGGTTTAGAAATCAATTCTAGGAAGAGTGTGCTAATGCACATCGGTCACGGCAATAGTTACCATCATACTATTGATGGTAAACTTCTTCCATGCGATCAAGAACATAAAGACTTAGGAGTAATGATAAGTCATGACCTAAAAACAACTACGCATTGCAATGCAGCCGCTGTCAAAGATTTTCGTGCGTTGTGGTCACTTGGCCGAGCGTTCAAATCCCTTGACGAGGAAATGTTTTGAATTTTATATCCCACCTATGTAAGACCACATTTAGAGTACTGTATCCAAGCAGCTAGCCCATGTCTGATAAAGGATACTACCTCACTTGAGCGTGTCCAGCGTTTGGGAACGAAATTAGTGAAGGGTCTTTCTAAACACCCTTACGAGGGGCGTTTAAAACGCCTAAACCTTTTCCCCTTGTCGTATCGTAGGACTCGAGGTGACTTTTTACTGGCATTTCGTATTTTTAACTATGATTTGAGTGTTAATATGTCTTATCTTTTTGCTCCCTCCAGCGCTAATAATCTTTGAGGTCATAGCAAGAAGGTTCATAAGCCACGATCTAATAAACTCAAGGTGGGGTTCCGTTTTTCTCATCGAGTAGTCAATGATTGAAACACCTTGCCCGAACAAGTGTTATCAGCTCCATCAGTGAATATTTTCAAGGAGAGACTGGACCTTCGCTGGAAGGCAATCTGTTGGGATTAACACAGGTTCACCAACCTACTATCCTTATTACTGAAGACTGAAGACAGACTGAAAACAAGGAAATTGGACATTGGGTAGTTGTGTTGTATTGGAAGTTGGTGCTACCCAGTGCATACGACAGAGATGGAAAAGGTTGCAATTCTAGATGCAGGTGCGCAATACGGAAAGGTATAGGAAATTCAGCGTAGTTTATTCTTGTCAACCCCTAATAGGTTATCGACCGACGCGTTCGGGAGCTCTCTGTTTTTTCTGAGATGTTGCCCATCAACACTCCTCTCGAAATGCTTATGAAAGCTGATTACAAGTAGCGTCTTACCCTATTATTTCTATTGCTATGTAGGGCTTTTATAATTTCAGGCAGCCCTGACTCAGTCTATCAGTCTATGAGTTGCACATGTGATCCCAAACTTTTTGACGCAAACATTCCTGTTCTGGGGATTTGCTATGGAATGCAAGTATGTTCCCAAATGTTTTGTTCCCATAGAGTCTAGCTTATCAACAAAGTCTTTGGTGGCCAAGTGATGGAGGGTGACACTCGGCAAGATGGCATATTTCAAATTGACTGTGACACAACTTCTCCATTATTTGAGTAAATTAATCCCCACTAATGTGTAATAAATTTATAGAGGCTTGGCAAAACAGGAGCATGTATTGTTTACCCATGGAGATCACTGTGTCACTGCTGCAACAGGATTTAAAGTCATAGCCAAGTCTAGTTCCAACATAGCTGGTTAGTTTGTTTCATTTGTATTTATTTCCCGTTCAGGTATCGCAAATGATGAGAAACGACTTTACGGAGTTCAGTTTCATCCTGAGGTGGATCTCAGTACATGCGGCTTGAAAATTTTTAAGAATTTTTTGTTCAATATATGTAGCCTGAAAGGAGATTTTAAAATGAGTGATAGGGTAGAATTGTGCGTTTCCAAAATACGTGAAGCTGTCGGTCAAAATAAAATTTTGGTAAGTTATTCCATAAAGCAGGTTCTCAAGATTCCTGATTTATTCGTGGTAACATCTGAGCATATCAGTTTTTAGTGTGATCCTATAATTACTTCTTTGTCAGCCCATATCGTTTGTGTAATATGCACATCGTGTTTTATAAGTAAATGTCTTCATTCGGTCGTTACTCCAAACTAATTTGCTACTTTGGTTAGGTTATGTAAGCTGGAAATTTTACTCGTTTAAGGAAGGTCGCTTAGTCCTTACAAAATAGGAGCTAGGTCAAGTGATTATTATTATTATTATTATTATTATTATTATTATTATTATAGGAATTAGTTAGTCGAATGGTAGATGCAACTCAGTAAAGTATAACTTCCTTATCCTTGTAATTCCTTTGTTTCATGCTAGTGCATGTCATTCGCTGATTATTTTTGTCGGATTAAGGTATGGTCCACAACTGCACTGTCATTGTTTCATACAGTCCTTGATTGTTAGCCTGGCCCCTGCTGGCAAATGTAGACGTTATTGTTAAGGTCTGAACGGTAATTATATTTAGTATTTGAAGACCGTTGTTGATGTCGGTCAAAATTGATCATAGTGGAGATCTGTGCATTTTTAACCCCCAAACCTTTTCAATACAATTTCACGCTTTTTATTTCTATATTTCGTCTATCCTTTTTGAGTTTTATTCTCTGTTTACCTTTACTGAATCCGATATAATTGAATACTACCACATATCTTGCGCCTCAAAGTTACCCGGATGCATCGAGTTTTCTGATATTGTATAGATTATGTTAAAAATAAACAGCTCAGTTCCTCTCACTTTAATAGTGTGAAATTCGTCTCAGTACTTCATTTATTTATTTAAAACACAAATGTTGGTGCAAGGAGGCATCGAATACATATGCGCCATACTTCGTCATTTGATTTGTGTGAGGGCTTAAATACTGGCCGGGTGCCAGAACCGAAGTAGTTCGTTTTCTTAGGGGGCCACTCCCTGAGCCTTTAATCTAGATGTCTAATCCACAGTGCAGTAAAGCAACGTTGGGAGATGCAGCCCTATGGTAGCCGGTGACCAGCAATAGGTTCATACGCCATTTCTTCCCTCATAATCCTGAAACCTATGTACACCATTGGTTTGGAATCAGGGTTTTCCAACTTTCTTAAGTAGATCCTCCATATCCGTCAACCCGGTTAAAACACCGGACATTCGTTTTTCACGGCTGTATACTTTTGGCCGCGTGAAAGCATTTCGAGAGAAAAAGCGAACTCTCCCCACCCTCGACCGTACTAGGGCATTTGGGGGCCTAGTCGTTATATAGGAAAGGTTTACATGACCTCTTGTCACACTAAAGTGGTTCATATATTCGAGGTAGAAGTTTTCAGTAATGTTTTCATTATTGTATACAAACTAGGTAGAAGCGTTGTTTAAGCTTACTTTCAACTGGCTTGCTGTTGTACTTCAATGTTTTTTCAAACTTCCCTAGATAATCCTGATATTTGTTTCAGATTTTACTGAGTGGTGGTGTCGACTCCACTGTATGTGCAGCCTTGCTATCAAAAACTTTGGATCCATCTCAGATTATTGCTGTTCACATTGACAATGGTTTCCTAAGAAAAAACGAATCTTTAAGAGTGATAGAATCATTAAAGTCATTGGGAATTAAAGGTAATCACATTCTGTTACATTATCTTACTTTACCCAGTCCATTTGATCAATGCAGGTCTTCGATTCCTATCAGGGACTACAATGCTACACGTCGATGTAATGACGGAGGCTTTGGCACCTGCTTCCGTCAGTCCTGCTAAAGCACAATCTGATTCTGGTAATTGAGATAAATAGGGTTTCTGATTATTAAATTGTATTTCTAGGAATAAGCTCAGGAACATCTGACGAGACATCAGATCCAAATACTAAAGAGTGCAGATCGACGTTAGATTCAATGGCATTCTCTCAAACTACGGATACATCTAACACTAAAAGACAGTCACATGTCAGTGGTGGTGGAATTCACCCACATGTAGAATCAAGAAACATTCCCATTGGTCCTCTTAGGACAGTTACTATTTTCCCTGAAGATAAACGACAGATTATTGGTGATACTTTTGTGCGTGTTGCCCAAGAAGTATGGACTGAACTTCAGTTAGATCCTAGTAGTTTAATGCTCTGCCAAGGTATACAGCTATTTTTTCATTTTTGTTGTCCCTAAAATGTTTTAATGATGTCCATAAAAACGATTGTCATTCTCTATGATAGTTGTTGTTTCTGTTGATTGTTATACATGTTTGATGGTACCTTACCTATCAAATATACTGAACTTTTAAACAATGGTAGTGTGGTATGCTCATGGACTATCTAATGTAGCTGTACCTAGTCTAGTTTGATCATATAGGTGAAGTGTATAGATAAAGTTTCTCAGAAAATCAGGAAATTTCGCGGGTGACATTTATTTTCATGACATTGGATGAACTTCCTAATACCTAGCTTTCATAAATCAGAGTTCGGATAATTAGGTAAAATACGTCTATCTTATCAACTCAATAGCCTTCAATCGGTTAGTTGAATAATACCATAAAGTAACAAAATGTGGCTGTAGCAGAGAGCGCTGTTGAAATAGTAATGTTCAAAAGGATGACGGTTTTTTCAGTCTGGGCACCCGGGCAGTATCACAGCCCACACACAAATTGTGACTTGCGTGGCGCATATGTATTCGGTGCTACTTTGTACCAATATTTATGTGTTCAAATGAATAAATATTTAAAAGTTTTTTAAAACAGCAGTTAACTCACACATTTCAAGATAACCGCTGTTCGATAAATATTGGGTTGGTGTTACTTATGAGATAAATCCTTGTGACAAAAATCCAAAGCTAAACAACTGTCTGTACGTTCGTCTGATTCATATCTCATTTCTAAACTAGTTATCACTAACGTTCTGTCCTTGAACATCATATTGCATTTGGTAGATCAGAACACGTACCTAACTTTTATTCGTGATTTGCATTACGTCGGTGTTTTCACTTATTATTATTTGCTTACTGTTAATAGACTAGATCTCTGGGTGACATCTTTTTCAGCAAATTAGAGATAAATACATATCTCGATCATCGTCTCTATTAAAATGTTAAATAGTGATGATGAGTATTTTTCGATTTACTCCTTTCGTCATCGCTTCAGATAACAATTTTCCATGGTGTCTAAAAGATTGCTTTTTAGTCATATGGTTCCAACAAATAGTGTATTTTTATTATATTACTAGGGACATTGAGGCCTGATCTAATTGAATCCGCATCTCATTTGGCTAGTCAACGAGCAGATACAATTAAGACTCATCATAATACAACTACACTGGTCCAGATTTTACAGAAGCAGGTTGGTAAACGCGAACATTTCAATTATTATGACAAATGTGTTTGTGATATAAATTTATTATTAGTTTAAGAATGGAATATATATATATATATATATATATATATATATGTATATATATATATATATATAATATTTCAAGATGAAATATAAAATAAATTTTGTGTGGACGTCTCAGAATTACACGAAATTTTTAGTAACCATATTTTGTGAAAATGGAAGTTAAGAGCTTCATTTAACTGTCTGATCATTTGATGAAACTTCAAGGGGAAGAAATGTATATATTCATGGTTTTGATGTTGATATTTCGATGACATGCATTCATTCTAACTTGCATGGCGAAATTCACTCTTCAGGAAACTAGCTTTTCCCCCTTATTATTTAAATATATCATTAATCAAATAAGTAGGTATCCTGGGTCATTGTAGTGAAATAATTTAATGTGGTTTCTTGTATACATTGAGGTTCCTGTAAGACTAAACTGTTTCGATTACCTTAAATGAAACTGCGAGATGTATAGTAGTTATTTTGTCCGACACCTACTGCTAACAGCCTCGTCAGAGAACATATGAGATGTTATACTATGGTTAAAGGCTAAAGCATTAATAGTAACGGTGATATACAGAAATAGATCTTAAAGTTTTGATGAAAATCTCGACTACGGTACAAGTCTCAGTTTATAAATGTGTAGTATAAAGATTACTAAGCAGTCTGATTTCAGTTACAAAAATCTGGACATGAATTATTGTAATCAGGGGCAGTCCTATACTTCTTGACAGTTCGAATACATTTAAAAATACTAACCTTTGAATTGTGTAGAATAAACTATCTATATACTGTATTATAAGCTTTTAATTTTCTAATAACGAATTGTTTTCTAAAAATGGCCAGTATATTCAACTGATGGTAGTATATAACACTCGAATACGACTGCAGTGTCGAATTTTTGTTGGGGATACTAGAATAGATGGTAGAAAAAACCACTAAATACTGGCTACTTTTGAATTCTGTATCTGTCTATCATTCACAACTTTTATTCCTCAACTATGACTTCATAAACATAAAACTTTGTTATTTGTTTTTGAAGGGTCGGGTTGTTGAACCACTTTCGGACTTCCATAAGGATGAAGTTAGACAGATCGGTAGGCAACTTGGACTTCCAGAGGCTATTGTCAACCGACATCCTTTTCCTGGTCCAGGTTTAGCAGTTAGAATTTTGTGTGCTGCAGAACCATATATTGAACGAGATTTTTCGGAGACAACAAGTCTTATAAAAATGATCTCTGGATATCATCAAATGTCGCAAAAGGTTGGTTTGTTGTAAGATCTTTAGCAATCGTCTTTGAAAGAATGACATTTATGCCAAGCATTGTCGCTTATTCGGTAATCGAATTTAGCTCCTCAATGTTATGCTTTGTGATCTAGTTCTTTTTTCACCGAGATTCAGTCTTGTTGAAATGTTCCATATGGTCATCCTCAAATACGTTAGAGGTGTGTCTTGGTACTTACAAACCTAGTATGGAGCCTTAAAAAGTACGTAGGAGTATACACTGCCTCATTTTTTAGAGTAACAATCAGAACGCATTAGGTAATAGGTATAGATTTAGTCGGAAAACAGTGCATACACTTACGAGTGGTTGCTTTCTTGTGTAAAACACGAGGGAAAGTAATTTTCAATGCTTCAGTCATTTCACACGTAGCCATAGTAAAAGACAACAAAGGGGCACATAATGCTCATCACTTGTATAGGAATATATAAGATAAAGCTTCACGCCTAAAGTTAATGCTTATAAGCAAAAATTCTCTCATTCAACCGTCAACAGTTGTGAAGATATGAAACTCAGAAAATCTATTTTTTCTCCAAATGACGATAATGCATTGTGGAATGCATAAGGATTTCTAGAAAAGACCACTAGATACCCGACTTTCATAGTGTTAAGTTCAACTTTATATCTGCAGTTTAAAAACTAGGACTGAAAAAACTATAATTTTCTAATCGATTCTGGTTAACATTTAAATAAATATTGTCAACCTTTACACCATTAGTGATTTCAGTCACATTGACCACAAAAAGAACGCCAGAATTCGTTTAACGGTATTCCTATTATTGGCGAGAAGTCTTCAGTAAGATTTGGAGTTATACATATTGTTTATTGGTATTAATTTTTATAAGTACTTAATTTCATGATTTACTGCATTTAACGTATATCATCATAATTTCTGCTACTTATCATTTTGCTTTCCAACAGCCTCATGCACTTTTAAACAAGATCAATGCTGCTGCTAGACCTGAAGAACAACAACGTTTATCAAAAATTACAGCGAATCGGTCTCTAGCCGCCTATGTTCTACCTATTCGTTCAGTCGGAGTGCAAGTATGATCTTGTTAATGAAATAGAATATATGAATGACATGTTCTATCGTTAATCTGTTTGTTTTCAAAATGATTAAAATTCAAACACTTAAACTTCTGTAAACTGCGTAATAATTACTCTAATTTTAAGCTTTTTTTCGCAATCTTTTCATTTTAATTGTATTTTAGGGTGATCATCGTACTTATAGTTATGCTTGTGCTTTATCTAGTTCAACTGCTCCAGATTGGGATGCCCTTTCGTTTTTAGCTAATTTGATTCCTAGGATATGCCATAATATCAATCGGTAGGTTCATTATTGTTATTCGAAATCTTTGTGACTTGTTTTATTGATCAACTATCTAGTTGGATTCTATTATATCACTCCCACGAACTGTCCTGGCCAGTTTAGTTTTTCACGTCTATGCTTAGTTCATAATATTATAAAAATTATCCGGAAAATGTGTTTGGGTATATTTTTTTTTGTCAACCAAGGGTCTGAAGATAAGTGTACAGCGCGCATACGTTTAAAAACATACTGGTTTATAAATCTGTCACTGATTAAAAACATATCAGGTTTGTATTTCTAGATCCACTTTACGGAAGGGTGCTCACTTAGTTTCTAAACCTTTGCTAATTAACTATAAGTACGTAAATTGTGCTATCAACCTGGTTCAATAGAGGAGAAATTAACGTACATACTGTTATATTTCCATGGTATGTTTCAGTTCGTTTGTCGTTTTTGTTATATTGAAAATAACATAAGACCACGTGCATAAAAAGAGCTACTAGTCCATTGAATTCCAATTAAAGACGAAATGTTTATTCCACTCAATTATGGCTTTACGGAATATTTATCAAATGTAAGTAGATTTTAGAATTCACAATGAAGTTGATATTCTTATTTATATTTATTTCAGCGTAGTATATATATTGGGACCACAAGTTGTTCATCCAGTAAATGATATTACAATTACTTACCTTCGAGAACCTGTTATCGATACTCTCCGTGAAGTCGATGATAGGGTTATGTCAGTACTTCATAACAATGGTTGTATGAACAACGTTGATCAAATGCCAGTTGTTCTTATACCGATTCATTTTGACCGTGATCCAAGTCAAGTAGTATCTATTCCTTCTATTTTACGGTCAGTTATACTCAGACCTGTGAAATCAGCTGATTTCATGACTTGTATTGCTGCTGTTCCCGGTGTTCATATTCCAGAAGATGTATGTGATTGTGTACAATCTTATTTATTCTATATTTATGTATTAATTTTATGAATGCATTGTTTTTCTATATGTTTTGTGATCGCGTGTTTAACTCGATCATAGTTTATCAAGATTGATTCCACTCAATAACTAACTGGTTGGTCAAACTGATGCTAGATAGGCCTAAGTAAAAAATAAGAGAAAAGGTTGAAAATAAACAATATCATTCCTTTTTCGAAGTTTCGAACCATGGACCGATACGATTTTTAAGGTAAATCCAAAATACGTTGCTGAAGTGCAACATGCATTCATATGAGACATAAATTTCTAAAGTGTAGTGCAAAGCAGATTGCATCTATATGTCGCCTATTCTCGTATGTAATCATCGACTTAAATCGCGTTAGTCAATAACGGAATTAAATAAGTCAGGTAACGAGAATGGACTTTTGGATAGATATATTTTGTATATGAAGCGAATAGAACAGAGAGACGAGAAACGACGCGCAGTAGAGATGGCGGGTAAGCCAACTCCCCTTTAACAAAGCGTTAATCACTATTTATAGTTACACAAAATTAAGTTACAGACAAGTGTTGAGTAATGGGATAAGAAGTGTAAATACACTAACGCGCTCATATAAAAACAGTCAAGATTGATAAGCGAATACTTAACAAGGTCAAAATATGACTCAAGTAGAATGAATGGATTGAGCTGTCCGAAAGCTAGGATAAGGTATATGGGCTTAACATAATAACTGACACTACAACTCAATAAATTCCATGTAATGTGATTACAAACTTACTAATCAAATGATTTTACGCGAAAATGAAAAAAAGCTGTAACAAATAGAAGTTATAATTAGAAGCACTAGAAATTAAAGATGATATCATGCATAAACGACATCATACTGTCACATAGCATATATATTCGTACAGAGATCGTATGGGGTTTTTTAAAGCTTTTAGGTAAATACGAATTCTGAGAACCTTTATGGACATTATCAATAGTATTGTGATCGGAATTCTTTTAAAACAATAATCTGTGTTGGTGGTTGGAAGAGAATACAAGGAGAAAAAGTATTACACGATACTTTAAACTATGCTTTATAAAAGTGTGTTCAGCTGTTTGGGGGTATTTTACGTTCCGGTAGTAGGATTGAATAAACCTCAAGTGTTTTGATAAATCTCCATCATACATGTGTTTCTGTTGTTTTCTGATTTATCCCACTATTATCATACTTATGACTGGGAAACTAATAGACATTAGCAAAGCTATATTAGATTACATACTTTACTGAGAATTATACCACTCAAGAACGTTCATTTACTCAATAAATCATTTTATTCCATTATGTGATAACGTTTCATCCAATTTGTCTGGAAAAAGCTATGAATAAATTATAATCTTTGTTGAGTGTCTACTATAAGTAGTATGAAATTATCTTGAAAACATTATCTTTTTGAAGTGGGTAATTGGATTTCAACATAATGCAACTAGATAAATCAACCACTAGATTTTATCTTCTTTGTTTTCTGCTATATCCATAACGGTTACTGGGACTGAAGCGAGACTTCAAAGTGAATCAAATAACTATCGAATAGAAAATCGACAACTGCAGTTAACAATTGGAATCTATGATACATATCTAAAAAAACCATTTGTTGTGTTAGCCATTTTATCATTACGCTTTAAATGGTAGTCATTGTTTTAGAATATTATTAGTTTCCAGCTAATTTATCAACACAATCACTATTGTTGTACGATAAGTGTTACTAACTGTAAAACCTTGTATAAATACCAACACGTCAACTTAATTGTGCTTGAGTCAGTATACAACAAACCGTTTCTACTATTTAAGTGAGAAATATTTTTGTATTGTTAGTATTTTTTATTTGTGAACGTTAATATTATCTCTATCTAGAAATACTTAGTATGTTTTATCTTTGTGTCATAGGTCGTTTACAAAATGCAGAAAGCAGCTGAAGAAGTACCTGGAATATCTCGAGTTTTATACGATCTTACTTCGAAACCACCAGCAACCATTGAATGGGAGTAATTAGTAATATTATTCTCTTAGTTTGTGTGTGTATGTGTCCATTCTGTGTTTTTACGATTTCTTCAAGAGATTATCCTCTAATTTCTTTATATCTGCACAGTTAGCATCATAGTGACAAAGTGAATTTCTCGATCATGCGTTTATGACACTGTTGTTGTTCTACAATACATTTTCGTTTGAGCTTATTTCAATTCTCTACCAATAATGAATATAAAAAATCTTACTGTATAACCTGCTTTTTTGTTCTCAAAAATCCTGCTTTGTTTCTATTCTTTACCCTCTATTCATTAAATGTATAAGATTTGGTGATTGATAAAATTGACTTGTTTTTTTTTGAAAAAAAATATAGGCACCTACGTTGCTCAATTAAAAGCTCTTGCATTTTGTCATATATCATATGCAGTGTTTTTGTACACATGTATGGATCAGTATCGTTAACACATTAATTACAATTAATATATAAATCAGTATTGCTTTATTCTGGATAATAAAGTAAATTTTATGTGGAAGCTCTCCTGTTCAATGTTTATGTTTTGAATTAAGTTACAAGAACGTAATCTAAAGGCAAAACGTTTTCTTCAAATAAATCATATATTATGCTCATATTATAATGTAATAATCTTATACTTTATGTGATATTAACAGTTATCAAATTATCTTCTGTAAAACAACCCACATAGTTAAGATAACCTGACTGAAGATATGTATATAAATTGGTTATATGTAGTGACATTTCAACGATAACAAAGTCACATGAATGCGAGGATAGTCGCATCTCTAAAGATTATTGTTGTAGGGATGACAATAGATTCCAATAATATTGACTTAAATTAATCGTAACACCTGGAGTACAAGAACTTATCAGTTATTGAGTTCAAGTGGGTTATTGAACACAAACAGTGGTCATTTAAGAAAGAAAAATTTGCCTAAAAATATAGTTTATCATATATTATACTTGAAAAAAAAGTCAACCCATTTGTGTTCTTCTGTGGGAAAGACACTAAAAGAACAGAAGTTAACTAATAAAAACAAACATGTTATCTTGTCGATTTATATGTTATCGTATCTCTGCAATATAAGTTTCTCACGGTTTATCTTTCAGGTTGATTTCCTAATTAGTAAACCGAATTCAACTGTATAAATTTAGTAGGTTAAAAATAGGTGGCAATATGAATATAAAGTTTGTTAGTACTTAACATATTTCAATTAGATGTCCATGATCATTTGTCAGACAGCGGATGAACTAAATGTGTGTCCGTTTATGGATATGAGAAAAACGAAGTTTTCTGAGTTGAAAGTTTAGTAGTCTTAAGAAACGTAGTTCTGAAGCATGTCTGATTTCTGTGTTTAAAATAAGTTTACATAGATAACCGTAATTCTATAATGAAGGACTGAGAGAGTTTCGATTTCTGACATGTGCGTAAATTTTACCAGGTGATTAAATTTAATTCTAGTGTCTTGTACGGATCAGTAGTGATTCCAGACAACCTTAGTGCGCAGGATTTTTGATAACAGAATATTTGATGTAAGTTACACGTGACACAGTTGTAATGCGACCAGTTTATCAGGTTACTATAATTGACGCTTTGTCGGTGGATGGTGTTTTACCTAGTTATGAACCAAATCAAGATCGGAGTTAACTATTGGACAATCATTTGCTATTCTTCCTTCAGACATGAGGTCAATGGATTGTTTCTACCCTATTAGTAAATCAATTTGATTGGTTATGCAACTGTTTAAAGTTTGACCAATTAGAAGTGTCTTTGTTCAGTGTGTGAAATTCGTTACATATTTTACAAACCTGAAATTATGCTTAAAAATATTTATTTACTTGCACAATGCAGCTGCTATATTAGATATGAATATCCTATTGTAATTAGTGTAAATCGTTTTTGCTGATAAGTAGATATTGTATAATCTATGCAAGAGAACATTTCATGTGAATATTGCTTGATCCAATTGAATAAAAAAACACCACAAACCTAATCGGTTTTCTAAATATATCTTTTGGGAAATAATCTAGTATGATGGATTATTTGATATTTCTGTTTCTCTGAAATACTTTTTAGTTGTACGCTTAATATTCTCAGTGAAGATTGAATAATATTGTAGTGAATGGAGATCTGGTGGGGAAAACCATTTTGCTGTATAATGCATGATTACAGAGTGACTCCATAAAGATATCGAAATCATACATTAAATGCATTGTTTGTATATTTTCCTTTAGATGTCCTTAAGATGGCTCATGATTCAATTCCGTTGTTATTACAATTGGTCTCGGTTACCCTTTCTGTTCACTTCAATTCAATCTTCTGCTGTCAGGCATTCCACTTCCGATTAGCTGTACATACTACAATTGCAAAACAATGTTTATCTTTGTTACGTTTACTTATTTCCTGGGAGTTCTAATAAAATGATTGGGTGACAAAGCGATGATCCACAAGTTTATGTTAAACATAACCGATTTGGAATTTGTATGAAGCTTAAATAACTGCTGATTAATTCATTTGTTTTCTGAGATCGATTAGACTAGCGAAACAAAATTTTACTATTCCAGTATACGTAGATGACTCTTCGACTGGAAGAATAAACATATCACTACTTAAAGATAATCGTTTTATCGACATGTTATTAAGTTAGTTTTGAAACGTCACTATTAATTCCACGTTGTAATTGATTAGTTTAAAGATTGATTTCGTTTCAGTAGAGGATAATCAAATTTTATGATATAGATCTTCTGAACAAACGTAGACTAGTGAAATTTATAACTGTGCAATACTTTCTTAAGTTACTCTATTGTAATGAATAGCACGAGGGAGTATGTTGACCATGTTATGTCTTCTGCACAGTTAAGGAAAGAAAAAGAAAATTCTTAAATATTGATTTTCACAGCAAAGAGTTTTTATCTTAGTTGGTATTGTGATAACCAGAACTTAGTTGAATGAATTATTGCTTTCAAATATCATTGAGTAAAATGTAGTTTAATTAAAGTTTCATAACAGGAAATAGGATGGGCTACAGTTGTCTGTGGTTTTAATAAAATGTTCAAATACATAAATCTGTAAGCTGATCATAACTTCGAAGAGCGAAACGTTTTAAGTATTTACGGATCGATTTGTTGGAAAAAACTACCGTCATTTATAAGGAAAACTCGTTATAACGATAAACGTGTAAGGATTGGGACAGAATGACAGTAAAAAACAAATAAAGAATGAATTAATCTGTCGAACGATATTTAATTGTTTTATTTGAAATCAACTTCCAAATTATATTATTTAGTATTTATACAATATATCATTTCAACTACCATCTCCGGAATGTTCAATTAATTTGTGCTTGGTACTGAAGCTTCGAATTCGACAACACGTAGTGAGAACTCAAACTGGTGAAATGACTTTGTTTAACATCTAAATAAATCAAAATGATACACGAATACACCATGTTTTGGTATGATTTATTCACAATTATATAGTGTTTAAAGATCAATAATGCAACGTGTGAACACATTTACATTATCATACAGTTAAGTATCTAAAATCAGTTGACCAAGTTATATGTTGACTCCCCAAGATGTAATCGAATGATATAGATAAGTAGAAAAAATTCAGTTTCATACATCATTTGCACTCTAATCGATTCAGATAATGTTTGCCATATCATTAGGGAAGTTCATGGCGTCATTGAAATTATTAGTAACATGTTATAAATGTTTCATTAGTTCCACTATTTTAATGTACATGAAATGTGATTAATATAGATTTGATATACCAAATACTAAAAAAATACTTGTTTAATTATGTATAATTATAAAATTAATTAATGTTTAGATAAACAATGACTTAAACAGTCAAGGTTATGAAAATTTTGTTTATCACCCATTTATATTTATATAGTTTTTTGATCAGCAGCAACTACCATTTTGTTTGATTTAGAAATATTCGACAAACGATAAGTCACAAATAATTACAAAGTATCGTAGCTGTTAGTATATCATCTTTTAACAGATTCTTAACGGTTATAAATGTTTAAATATATGTTATTTAGATTGATGTAATGTCAGATCACCATTGGGAACCTGAATGCACTGGACGGCTGTTTCCTCCTAGTATGGGACTTCACGATCCCGCCCCTCGAGATTCGGACCCGGAACCTATCGGTCTCGTGCGCAAGCACTTAACCTCTAGACCACTGAGCCGGCATCCAAAAGTGTTAAAGTTTAACTTCCACCAATCCATGGTATTGCCCAACCGTCCATCATCGACGTCAGCGAGCAACTGTCTCAAAACAGTCACGGTTGAACCCCACTGGTCACAGCTTCTCACTAGAACTCCAGGAAATTCATCTGGAAGCTAGTCACTAGTTAGCTTATGATTATAGTCAGTATGGATTTTGTGGAGATGGAGCTGGATCGTGCATGAGCACTGCTGAGGAGTTCTATACTAGGAAGAAATGGTCGTTCAGTGCTTTCAAAGTTTCCATGGTGGTCTAACTTCAATTGACTCATGATTTCAACCAGTGAACTAAATAAATTAATATATTTGTAATATCCTAATGAGTAAAAAATTGTATTTTCTGACGTTTCGTGACTTAGTGTAAGCCACTTCTTCAAAGAATAAATAACCAGACGTCAGAATATCTAGTTTATCTACCCATTGGGATAATACAAATATATTATTTATTTATCGTTCAAATGTATTTGTTTGCATGTATTTTTTCTTGTTTTGGATATATTTTTTTTCTTGTTTTTTAGTAAGCCTTTTGTGTAGTAAAAGTGTAACATAAAAGTATGCCTAGAATCTACGAGTGAGTATACTGAATTATTCTGCATTAATTATTTTTTCGATTGACCTTAAATATGCATGATATTTAGTTTCTTTTTTGTTGTTATCAGTTTACTTGAAAAAAATTGCTGATCTGAAGACTCGTCTGAAGAAAAGGAAGTTGACATTTAGTTTAGAGTATTCATATTACACTCAATTTGTAATAAAAAATACTGATTG